CCATACTCCATTGTCATTCACTGCTCCATAGATTCACCTGCCTTAGTAGTTTTCTTTCGAAACATCCTAACAAGTATTCATTATTTTTTGGTAGAATCCAAGTATCTAAATTATATTATGTTAGAACTGGGCGTATTATTGTTTTGTAGAATTTTATTTTTGCATTTCTCGGTATAATTGTGGATTTAATATTTAAGGAGGTTGAGCCCAAAAAAGCATCTGTTCGTTCACTTCTTCGATGGCGTCATTTTCTATACAAGTGGTCGTAGGATTTGTGGTTGCGTACTTATTTTCATATATTTCGTTTTGTTGGTATTAAACCCATTTTTGTAGATGATTATTTTAATGCTATATACGCCTCTTGTATAGCGTTTTTCGTTCTTCCAACAATATTGATATCATCAGCATAGGCCAGGATTTGCACTGATTTATTATATATTGAACCAGTGGTTTTAATTGGTGACATATGAATTAAGAGCCAGATTAAACAGTATACAGGAAAGAGAGTCTCCCTGGCTCGGCCCGTTATTTGTTTTAAAAGATCCAGACAGTTTCCCCTGAATTTGTACTCTACATTCAACTTTTTCAAGAGTTAGTTTTGTTAGTTTTAAGAGTTAGTTTTGTTAAATTTACCAACTGATTTGGTATTGCTAGCTCTTTCATTGCTTTGAACATGTCTCTTCTATTCACAGAGTCGTAGGCTGCTTTGTAGTCTATAATTAATGCCGTATTCCAGGGTGCTTTTCCAAAATTTGTTTCAGTGTTGCAATCTGATGAATTGTCGATTTATCACCTCTGAAACTAACCTGGTATTTTCCTACTATCCGTTTTGCATATGGTCCCATACTATGACATAGTACGGTGGAAAATATTTTATATGCTGCATTTAGAAGCGTAATTCCTCTGTGGTTAGAGCAAAGATATCTCCGTTTTTATGTATGGTCCAAAGTATTTCAATATTAAAATTATTGGGGAGGAATTTCTGTGTTCATATTTCTTTTATAAGCTGCTGTAATGCCGTGATCGTATCATGGCTACCTTTTTTGTATAGTTCAGCTGGGAGATTATCTATTCCGTGTGATTTTTTTCTGGCTAGTTGTTTAACTGCATCTTTAACTTCAAGAATCGTTGGTAGTTCCTCTTTCCTCTCGTTTGTTCTCCTTACCTCATCTCTTTAGTCTTCCAGGTTTTATTCTTTTTCCTCTATATTAAGTGCCTGGTGAAAGTATTCTACACATATATTCAATACCTCTTTCCCTGTTAATAGGTCGTCATTCTGACTTCTGCATGTATTGAATTCTTTAGATTCTATAGATTTTTTAATAGATTATTATTATGATACCCATACGAAAGAGAACAACAAAGCGATGTCGGGTCAGTATATAGCATAGATAAGTAATATGTATGTAGTATGTAAGAGTGATATACGCTCTAAATCATTCAAAGACAATAGATATATTATTTTATAAATTTTCCGAAGCCTTTATTTCTTTATAAACAACGTTTTTTTTAATAAAAAATATTTACCTATTTAATAAATATTTTTTTATAATAAACCAGTAACATATGATGTATAATATATATTATTAAAATTAGTAGTAGTTTTTGTGGATAGGTGACGCTGGTGTTTTCGTTATGGAAAGACAGACAGAATAAGCAAATTGTAATATTGATTTTATTATATTATATATATTTATCTTCCAAATTATAATAACTAGTTTATTGAATTTCCACCCCAGTTTAGCCCGCCGACCGGCTCCTGTTGAGAAATCGGAGCTGGATGTGATTGAGATCTGCATCCATAATCGACTTTTTAAAAATTCTCACACCAAAAAATTACAATCAACTTAAGCTTTTGCATATATTCAGTTCTGGATAGTTTTCCTGTTTTCTTTGCCAATAAAATGTGATAAATGCGTACTATCTGGCTACCACTTGAATAAAATCAAAGAATTTACGTCTACAAGAAGACTAACTACCTCGGGTATATAAAACATTTATTTCTATTTTAACCAGATTATTTTTCATCGAGAGTACGGGGGTTGTCAGAGATGTGCTTGAGATATGTTTTAATTCTTCTTCTTATTCGTCAGCCTGTTTGCATCCACTCCTGTACAAAGGCCTCCCCATAAGTTCTCCACTCTTACCTGTTTTGGGCCATTTCATGCAAGTTCTCCCCACTTTTATTTTGATGTTACTTTGTTAAAACGAAGCTTCTATACTAGCGTTGTATTACTTTTTTTCTCTGCAGTCAAATGCTAAGGGAAGCGTCACGGAACTAGCACCACAAAACGGCATCGTCACGGGTAACGTCATAGAAAAGCGATTCTTGACATCGATTCACTACTCTCGATCAATTCGTTTTCAGTTTTCATACATTTACTCTAAACAGGTTTCGACTAAAATCAGCAAAAAAATTACAAAATATAGACAGTATGAGAACTAAAAAATTAAAAGAATATCTGTCACTAAAAGATTCGATTCGTAAAAAGTCATAAATGTCATCCGATTAATAACAACATCAAATCATCTGTTAAAATGCTCTTTCACAGTACGTGGAGTAAGACAAGCATGTGTGCTTTCCCATTTACTCTTTAATATGTATTCAGAAGAATTTAAAGAGGCATTAGAAGACGTAAGTAAATGAAGGCATATTTATTCTTCTTCTTCTTCTTAGGGTGCCTGTCCGTTCCGAACGTTGGCGATCATTCTGGCTATGATAATTTTGTTGGTTGCTATACGAAATAGCTGTGTTGAGGTCTTTCTATACCATGCTCTCAGATTAGCAAGCCAGGATATTCTTCTTCGTCCTGGGCTCTTTTTCCTTCAATTTTACCCTGCAAAATGCATTGGAGTAGCTCGTATCTGCCTTGATTTCTCATAATATGTCCCAAGTACTCCATAGTCCCAAGTACGCATATTTATTAACGGAGCATTTCTCAATAATCTTAGATCCGCAGATGACACAATACTCCTGCGGACAGCAGAGAAGGGCTATAGATCTTGGTTGATCGCATTACCCAATACTGCGAAAGGTATGAAATGGCACTGAATACAAATAAAAAAAAATTCATGGTGGTATTAGTATTGAGGAAGACAGTGTTTATGCTAAAGGAAAACTTTAGGTTTTTTAGGGTTTAGGCAGGGTGCACAGATATCAAGACTTAGGTTGCGAACTCAATGAACAATGGGATAGAAATAAGGAAATGAAACGGCGTATTGAGATAGCTAGAAGTGCTTTTAATAAGATAAAAGCAATATTATGCGATGGGAAACTCAACATTGAAATTAGAACTAGAGTATTGAGATGCTACGTGTTTAAGATAATACGATTGTGTTATATGGAGTTGAGGCCTGGACAATCACAGAGGCGACAGAGAAACGACTCATTAACTTTGAAATGTGGTGTTATCGAAGAATGTGGAAAATATCTTTAACACAACACATAAAAAATGCGGAAACGCTACGAAGAATGAAAAAAGATAAAGAAACACTCAACACTATAAAGAAAAGAAAAATGTTACTTTGGTTACTAAGAAACGAGAAATACGAATTGATGCGGCTGGTCATACAAGGGAAGGTGGAAGGCAAAAGCGGACCGGGAAGAAGATGCACGTCATGGTTGTAGAATCTGAGATAGTGGGGTGGGAAAACGTCAATAGAAGTTTTCAGAACGGCTGCAGATAGAGTCAAATGGGCTATGATGATCGCCAATGTCCTTACGGATTGGGTACGTTAAGAATAATAGGAATATAAGCAGACTGGAACAGTAAAATGTTCTAAAATATATATACATATATTTGTTGTTTAAGTTAATTCGCTGATGAAATATTGTAAAATTCTATTGGATTTTAGATATAATTTAATCACGAATATATCGCCTTCACATACGTTCTGGACTATCTACAATGTGATAAATAAACTCTAAAAATTCTTCAACTTTTTCATAACAATCCAAAAAATTTTTTATTGTAATTAAAAAACAAAAAAAATATATATTGGAAGTGTGTTGGAAAAAATAGTATTCAACATAAACAAAGTTAGGTTAGAATCGTTACTAGATTACCGCAAGGCCAAAATAATCAACCAAAAATATCTATTTGGTGACTTTTCTAGTAAATTTCTTACATTATACGTCCATGGGAGTGAATCTGTCTTTTAATACTCTTGGTTAAAAAACAAACCATAGAGAGACTTTATTTAAAAGTATATTATATTCGCTTCATATAAGTCAACCGAGAGCAAAAATACTACGAAATAAAAAAAAATACTGCTCAAAACGCCCTTAACCCCAATATACACGTGTATGTTAAACGCACAAAACTAAAGGAATTAAAGAACAACCTTTCATATGTTAGAAATCATTATGATTATGTGTATTTTGTTTACTGCTGCTCTAAAAAATTCGATTTGTTGAACAAGAACAATCTTTCGTAGGTTGACAATCAATATGATTATGTGTATTCTGTTTACTGCTTCTTCTTATTCTTCTTGTAGTGCCTATCCGTTTCGGATGTTGGCGACCATCATGGCAATCTGCACTTTGCACACTGCTGCTCTAAAAAGATTTGTGGTTGTTGTGTTGAACCACGTTCGTAGATTTTTCAGCCAGGAAATCCTTCGCCTTCCTGGTCCCCGTTTTCCTTCTACTTTTTCCTGCAAGATTAGTTGCAGCAATCCATATATTTCGCTGTTCCTCATGATGTGACCGAGGTATTCGATTTTGGCTGTTTTTATTGTGGTTAACAGCTCTCTTTCTTTTTTCATTCTCAACAGAACACCCTCATTAGTAAGTTGTAGTAGTGTTTACTGCTGCTCTAAAAAATTCGATACGTTAAACCAGTAAACCACACTGAGATTGCACGGCTACAGCATTCATCTTGACATGAGCATGACACTCGGAGATGTAGACATAGAAAACCTCAACATTTACCTACCATATCACTTCAAAAATGTATTTGAATTCTGAAAGGCAAAGGAATCAATAAAAACACGTTTTTGGTTGAATTTTTTATTACTAATTTTACTCTTTTAGTGAATAAATTATAGTGTTTTTGGGCAATACGATTTCTTCGTCATTAACTGCTGTATTCTCCGTAGATAAATTAATTTTATGATCTGAAATTAAATGTCTACTAAGCACTTTACTACATATGTTACCTTCCGCAGTCTTCTCGTGTATTTTTTGATGTTTTACTAACCTACAACGGTAAAAGAATTTTAAGCTACACTTATCGCAAGAATATTTCTTCAAATCATCAACGTTTTTGCCTTGATGATAGCATTCGTGACTAAGCAAATCAGTGTGGTTGGCATAAGACTTCGGACACACCTTACATTTGAATTGTTTGTGTCCGGAATGGCTCAACATATGCCGATTTAACCGAGACGATGTGATGTAACCTTTGCCGCAAATATTACAGAGAAATGGGCGTTCGTTGGTGTGGTAGGTTCGAATGTGCGCTGTTAGGTTTACTAATTGCCTAAAATGATGAAATGTCATTATAACAGAAATGTTAGTGCCTTATAGGTTAACTTACTTATAAGATTTTGGGCAGTAGGTACAACTATAAGGCTCAATTCCAAGATGGATTCTCTTATGCCGTTCTAAGTTAGACCGACTTTTGAAAGCTTTTTGACAAATATCACATGGAAAAGGTCGTTTATCTTCGTGGGTATTCATGTGTAACTTTACTTCAGCCCACCTTACAAAACCTTTACTACAAATGTTGCATTTAAATGGGCGTTCACCTAAAAAACAGTTTACACTTAATAAGTTACACTTAGATACTGCCGTCTGATAATTTAATATCAATTTTCAATTTATACATCAAATAAATCGTATTCAGCTCTATAAAATACTGCCATAAACCAAAAAATTAATATAAAATCCTCAAGATATTGTTGGTTCCATTAAAAAATCATTCATATTTTTGAATTGTCGCGATATTTTTGGGTAACTCCGGAGTAGTTAATCCCGAAGTGTGTAAAAATTTACTGGATATGATCGTCTGAACCGTTTTGCATATATCCGGCTCGAAGGACCACGGTAAAAATTGTAGGAATCAGAAAACAATGTATGGTTCCTCTAATAGAAGACTCTCGTGGACGGACCTTGTTCTTCTTGATTCCAATTAAACAAGCAATACATTTAATATAGATTTTATTTAAAAACCAGTAAACAATAAACCAAAACCCGTACGTCAACGAAACGTAAGATATGTCAAGAGCGTCTTATGTATCCCGAAAGTCACTCTTTGATGTGGATTTTAGACTAACGAACCGCGATATCGGTCCATATTTCTTTAAGGACGACGTTGTCTAGGCCATCACCATCAACGGTGAGCGCTATAGATCGATTATTGCTAACTTCTTTTAGCTTGAATTGGATATCGACACCAATGCCATGTGATCTCAATAGGATGCTGCTATGTACAACACAGCTTATGGCACATTAGACATTCTGCATTCTGTGATTTGAGGACATAGTTATCTGGTGGTAATGTGAACTGGCTAAAGAGATCATGCGATTTGACCCTGTTAGGTTCTTTTTTGTGAGATTTTCATAAGTAAGATATCTACCAAAATTTTCCACAAACTAAAGTGGGCCTCAAAGCCAACATAACTCATGCTATCAGTCAAATTCAATCTGGTTTATGCGCCACATTCATGGAAATATTTGGATTTATATCCCACACATAAAAGTAACAAAACTTTATGATATCACAGAGATACTTTGTTTTATTTTAAATTTAAAGATAGGAAACACTTAATGAAACACCCTATATGTGCCTTAAACTGTATTTTGGGTGAGAAATAGCTAAATACTCGGTAATTGTCAAAAAACAACTTGTGAAACATTTCTAAAAATACTAACCTGTATGAGACATCATATGAATACGAAAAGTACTTGGATTTGCATATTTTTTACCACAGATCTTGCACAGATGATCTTTAACTATTTTATGACCTTTAAGATGACTAATAAGTTTGTTCCTCTCGCTGAATTTTTTCTGACAAATACTGCACTAAAAAAAATTAGTTACAAAGTTGTATAAAGAAAAACAAAAACATAACATAACATAATAAACATAACATAAATAAACTGTTAGACAACTTATCTATATCTTGCAGGGACAAAATCTAGTCTAAATGCTTTATCTTTTATTGTACTACTTGAGCAAATTTCTCCTTAGTCTTTCTTAAGCACTATTGTAGATGCTACTGCCAAAGTTCTACTGTTTTCCTGTGAAGATCTTTGTATAAGTTATCAAAATATTTCTTCCAGTAATGATTTATATGTTTTATGTTTGTGCACTGTTATTTTATTGTTTTTTTCTCATAAATATCAAATATTTTACTTTTCTTTGTTCTATGTTTGTCAAATTTTATATATTTTTAGATATCTTTTATTTTCTGTTCGCAAACTTACAATGTTTATAATCTTACACCTATTTGCATGACATTCTTAGAGTCTCAAGTTATTTACTTTTTCTTCATTTAACCACCATCAGGTTTTAATTCACAAAATTTATTTTTTGAGGTTTTTCCAAGTATTTCGAATGTCAAACTCATTTTCAAATATTTTATTACAATTTTGTATTTTTAACTACACATTAAGAGTTGTTTATGATACAGGGTTTTCATTAGTCTTTTCTCAATCCTCAGAACATCATATGATTTTTCAAGATCAACAAATGTGAGGCTAATTAAAACAAATATTATACTTACCTGGAAGTTCTTTGATTTACATTTAATTGTATGCTCCTTCAAATATGTAACATCTTGAAACTTTTCACTACAAATGAAACACTTATACTCCAAATTTGGTATACCATTCACCAATCTCTTTATATGTGGATTCTTTATAGGAACCAATGGAGGGGCATCTTTTGGTAAATCTTGAAATAGGTTATCAGTAGAGACTGATTTGTTATCATCTCGTATTGGTATTAAGGGAGGAACATCTCCAGTGTATATCTGAAAATAATCTGTACTTACTGATGTTAAAGACTCTGATTTATCTGATACTAAATGTAGCGGATTACTAATCAATATTGGTAGTGCTTCTTCTATACAATATGGCTTTTCAGTTACTGATTGATCTAAGGAGATATCAAAGTTTTCATTATTAACACCATTTCCTACAATCCTGTTATCACTGAATATATTCTTTTCATTTAATACTATTTCTCTTAGTATCCTGTTATTATACTCCACATTTTTCTTAAAATTGTAAACTTTTATAATTGCTAGAATGCAGGCTCCACAGATTTTATTGGGCAAACCATCATTTTCAGATATCTGAAAGAATATAAATAAGTTTCAGTGATTTAAAAAAAAATTAAAAACTGTAAATTAATTTTGTTTTATACAACCAGTTTTATTTTATATAGGCACTAAGTATAACTGTATTGAATAGAAAAATCAACAAGGAATAATCTCATTAAAATATTAATGGCATGTAGAACAGAAAATTTATGATAACTTAACAATAAATTTTTCATTGCAGATAAATAGGAGGTCTTAACTATTTATGAATTTTTATTAGTCCAACAGCAACAGTTATTTTTATTAGTCCCTGTAAATGAATATAAAAATTACCTCAGAAAAATAACAAGCTTTCAACATTTTAGGAATTTTGGTTTTATAGATATTTCTCATGTACCGTCTGCCAGTTATACATATTCTACAAACATTTTTCAAATTAAATTTCGTTAGGTAGCATAATATTTTTCTCGGTATTCTCATATTTAAATAATTTTCGAAAATTACTGAATTAATACTTTTAACTCAGGCTCTGGCAACGGGTAATATAAACATGAAGTTAGCAACAATTGATTATTGGTGGCGGATTTAGTTCTACAGAGATTTAAAAACAGACGAAAATTTATTCACAATACTTTTAAGAATTCGTTCATCCACATGCAATTCGTTTGTTACTTAAAGTGGAATTAAACTTCTACAATATTACTGAAAATAATTATTTTTTAAATATCTTTTATTATTCTTTTAAATAGAGCATGACACATGTCACAAAAAATGTGACAGAAATCATGTGAACACATCTGTAAACGCCATCTACTGACAGTACCTAAATAATATCAACAATTCTAGAAACACTGGCATTAAAATTCGATTGATTGCCAAAAGTTTTCGAAGATTTGAAAAAAATGGAAGAATGTGAACTTCGAAATATTTGTAGAGCGTGTCTTACCGAACAGGGACAATTCCAGTCAGTTTTTGTACCAGAGCCCAGTTCCGGAACAGCCCTTCATATATCCGAAATGATGAGTGCCTGTGCTTCTGTTCAGGTAAAACTAGGTTATTTAAATAATTATTTTTCAATAACATTTACTAAAGGAATGTATATTTCAGCGCTTCTATAGCTTTTCTATAAAAATGCGTTTAATTATAAGTCTGGAATCAGTTATAAGTCATGTAATGGCTTGTTTAAGTGATAGCAAGTTGTTAATTAATATTAATTGATATTTTCAACAATTTAGTGGCAACATACAGCAAATTTGTTGTTGTTACTTAAAATATTACGTTTTTTTGAGTTATTTTCATAGAAAAGTTTAATACACAACTTACATTATTTCCCCTGACATGTTTTTGAGCACCGTTTTTAAGAAATACCTTCAAATATTTGAGAAAGCCAGAAATTAATAGTATTTTTAGGAATTTAAGTTAAAATCGACACAGAAATCATAATGATTTTAAGTTTAACCTGGAATAAATATATACTTTACATACATAACCTATAATTTTTTACATATTTAGTGGTGTTTAGTGCTACAGTGTACATAATCAGTGAATATGTTTGAATTCCTCTCTACTACATTCAGCCTATAGAAGTTGTGTTGTTTATTCTTTAATACTATCTTTTAGGTAACTTTAGGAGATGGTTTACCTGAACAAATATGTAAGTCTTGTGCCACTGATACTGTCAATTTATATCTCTTTAAACTAAAATGTGAAAAAAGTGATAAATCCCTTCGAGAGAGATTAAAAAAGTCTTCTGAAATATATGATGGTGTTTTTATAAAGGCTGACGATGTCAGTGTTTTAGAAGATGATGTAAAATGTGAAGAACCAAGCAACAAAAATGAAATCGATGAGAATTTGGAGCACTTTGATAATTTCTTTGATAAATATAGTGAATACAGTGATGAAGATTCTAGTGATCCAAAAGAAGAAGAGGTTCCTAAAGACAAACCAAAAGTTAAAGAGTTCAATTGTGATATTTGCAACAAACAGTTTAGTAGAAATGATTTACTTTTAAGGTGAGCAATATCTTATTCTTTGTGATATCTAAATGTAACTGCTGTATGTATTTATATGTATTAAATGTATTTTGTCCGTGAAAACACTTTTATCAAACTATATATAATCATTTTTCTGATCCAATAGTTTTGCCATTTCTTTTTACACTAATACAAATCATCTGTAAGAAGGCTATAACTCAATATTACTACTAATGCTGTGGAATTAAATAATATATTGACGATTTCAGGATAAAAGCGTCTAAACAAAATAAAGACAACTTTATAGAAACATACTAAATATTTTTATCTATTTTGTAATTCTTTGGGATAGATAACTGGGAGTTTATATCACTATCTTAATACCAAATAAAGTTAAGTTTGTATATATTTAGCTAAAAATGCTGTTATTATTAATTTATAGGCACAGGATAGCACATGCCATGAAAATGGAAGACCAGAAGATGGAATTCGATACTAGCTACCCTATGGAAGATGATGACGATGATGACATTATTGATATAAAAAGAGAAGATTTTGTTTATTCATGTAATCGATGCGAAACAATTTTTATTCATAAAGAAGATCTAGACATCCATTTAAAATCTCATCGTAAAGAAGAGTATAATGTCAGCTGTGAGATATGCCAGAAAAAGTTTTCTAAATTGGCTCATATGAATAGGCATTTGAGAACGGCTCATTTTATGGACAAGCAATTTAAGTGTGAATTTTGTGAGAAGCGATTCCATAGACAGGAACAACTTAGGAACCACATGAATGGCCATTCTGGTCTTAAACCACATATCTGTGATATTTGCTGTAAAGGTTTGTAACTTTTTTATTCTAGTGTTCTAGTTTCTATATAAATTGTATATTTTTTAATGCAATGCACATATTTTATTCAATGCTCTTTCTATATTTTATAAATTATCAAATAATTTTACGATCTCATCAGCATAAGGTTGCAATATTCATCGTTGCCTGACTCGCTCATTACTGCTACTCATTATAATATTTTACATCCTATTTTTACTGCTGCCCTGTGATTGTAGTTGATGTGTAATAATAATCTTAAATCCCATTCTTACAGGGTTTTGTTTCTGAAAATTTAAATAAATTTTTCAAGTATAAACCTGCCAAAGGCTTTGCATGAGGCTAATTGATATTATAGTTTTTGAAGTTGCTTATTTTCTAGTTATATGAGGTTTGTTGTGTTTATCAAATAATCTCACTGAAATTTTCAGATTTTTATCATCAACTCACAGGTCAATAACAAAAAAAAAAAGATTTATAAAACTGTTCTTATAAATTTAAGTAGGTAATCCTATGTATTTTTTGGCACTAAAAAAGAATCTGAAATTAGATTTTATGTATCACCCACAGTTTTCAGCTTTCTTAGTCATCTAACTCAGCTTGTGTAAACAACTGTGTTTGTGAATTTTCTGAAGGACACTGAAATTCACCATGACTTCCTGGACCACTTTCATCAGATTCTGATTCAATAGTATTTAAAATGTCATTAATATGTAGAGGAGGCTCAAGGACTGACAGTTCAGTCCATGCTCTACCGGACTGATATCAGACAGGAGCTTAGGATAAACCACCACTTTCTTATTTTTAGAGTTATATCCAGAAACATCGACAGTACAAAAATAACAATCATTTGAATGATTTTTTTGCTCTCTCCATACCATAGGTACTGCAAATCTGAAAGCTTTTTTCTTTCTTTGATCACTTCTTTAAAGTCTCAACACAAACATAACATACATTGGGAGCATCCAAATCTTTGTCTTGGTCACCAATTTTCACACTAAAAATTGAAAATACACTTTTTTTACAAAGTCAGTAATGTTTCTCTGATGTTTTTTAATGACAAAATTAGGACATTATGTAACAAAATGTATTTGGACAGTTTTTACAACCGCGACTAGCCATACTTAACAGTGCATTAGTCAAACACTGAAAAGTGAGTTTATGTTTATTAGAATAAAGGAACTATACAGCTGTTAATGAAGAAGAAGAAGAACAAAAAATTTGAAACAATTCATTAACAGTGCTACCAACCAAGTAACATAAGATTTCTCTACTCATTAAACAAATTAAAATGTAATTATGCAGTTTTAAATATTAAATTGTGAAAGAATGATGGGTGATACAGCATTTTTAATATGATTTTTGGACTCAGCACACTAAACTACATAAGATAGAGGTAATTTTGTCAAAAAAGTTTTTTTCATCGTTGACCTGTGGCTATCTCTAACCTAACCTATCTTTAAACTGGTATTTAATCTGGACCATTTACTGGTTTCCATCACATTTATCGCACAAATAACCTCTAATTTAGAAATTTCAGTTCTTATGTATCTGCTTAGATGATTCATAGTCTCAAAATCTTTTGGGTAGATATTTTAAAATTTAATTATAACACAGGTTATTATGATTGGTTTAATTTTTGTTATGCAGAGAACTATTTCCTTTTGTAGGCTTTAACCAAATTTCAAATTTGAGGGACCATATGCGTACTCATAATGGAGAAAAGCCTTTTTTGTGTTCCACTTGTGGGAAAGGTTTTAATCAATTGGGAAATTTACGACAACACACAGTGAGACATAGTGGAGTTAAAGCTCATTTATGTAGTACTTGTGGAAACGGTTTCGCCAGTAAAGGAGAATTGTCTGCACATCTTAGAAAACATACTGGTAAGTAAAGAAAATATTTATGCAGTGCACTAATTTTTCATCAGTTCTGATCAAACAGTGACTTAAGCATGTGATTAAATGTGTAGTCGCCTAAAACCAGTACACATTTGTGTTTTAAATGATTAAATGAAGCAAAAAATTAATTTGTCTTTGAATATCTTTTTGTGGAAGTGATTAACCACCCAAAATAATGAACGAACCTTGCAATATAGTTAAGAAATACAATGTAAATTGATATTTACATTCTCTATTGATTGTAGGTGCCAGGCCATTCGTATGTCAAGTTTGCAATCACGGTTTTACAACATCGAGTTCACTCACTAAACATAAGAGAATTCATTCTGGCGAGAAACCGTACGAATGTGATACCTGTAAAATGAAATTTTCAAGATCTGGTATACTGGCTCGACATAAAAGGACGCACACTGGAGAAAAGCCTTATAAATGCAAGGTAAGCAATATTTTTAACCATTACATCTTACTATACTTTATTCATATGTATCTACTAAAAATCTCTGAAATTTTAATTTGATAAGAAAATCTTAGTCTTAGAATTTTAACTTCAACGTTAATCACAAGTTTGCGATAATTGTAATCGCATTTTAATATTTTAATTATACAGAAAACAGTCTAGCGGTGTTATGGCGCGCAATCTTTGAGTCCAATTCACTTAAAAATCAGAAACGTGAAATTATATGATCATCAAAAGTTTCTTCAATAAATCGATTATGGCACAATCTGTGTGACATGTGGCGCCATCTAGTTGAAACCACAGCTCCTCCACATCAAGTTTATTCAATTCAAGTACGAAAAATTTAGTAATCATAGCTCTATAGCGGTCACCATTGAGTGTGGATTGACCAACGATTCCGCTATCTCATAAAGAACACCAAACAGTCGGTTTTATGGACGTAACGATTTCTCACCATATACTTTTGGATGATCTCTACTCCAAATACGACAGGTTTTCTTATTTACGCAGCCATTCAATCAAAAGTGAGCTTCATCACTAAACAAAATCGCTTATGAAAATTGATCAACAGTAATCTTGTTTTGGTTCCATTCACGGAATGTACGCCTTGCTCGGTTAGCGTGCGGCCTCAATTTTTGTATAACTTGGATTTTTAAAGAGAAAATCCAAGATATTTTGCAAAATCTTCCATAAAACAATGGACACAGGTCCAATTTTTGCGCACGATGGCGGATTGGCTCATTTGGTTCTTTTCCTCGCTCGACAGCAACATTAACTTCTGTACGCACTGTAAAACCGTGGTGCGAAAACGTACGATCTTTAATCGAATTAATTGCTCTGATGGTTAGACTTGCACAATTCGGAAGCATCGTTCAGGCGTCAGTGTATTCATGTTGAAATCTCAAGCTGATGGTTTGACTGCCATAAAAAAGTACAGCTTTATATCTCTAAACAAATATCCTTTAATTACTATTTTCAAGGATAAACACGGTCTAGTTTATTTAATTGTATTGGCACAAAAAATCCTAAATGTTAATTTATATACCTCAATATACAACTACATAAACATCTAAATATCCGAAAGCATAATATTATAATGTAATTATGCATATTTTTTAGTTTTGTGACAAGGCTTTCTCGCAGTCGAACGACCTCACCTCCCACCAAAGAATCCACACCGGAGAGAAGCCGTTCATATGCGACGAATGTGGCCAGGCGTTTAGACAAAGTTCGGCATTGAAAACGCATAAAAAGACTCACGTCGAGAAGAATCCGTCAGCAGTGCCTTCTACTTTGGAAAAAATCGACAAGCCTACGTGCGTCGTAGAAGCCAAACCAATATTTCTAACGGGGGTTTTTAATACAGAGTTTTTGCCAGGTTTTTAGTCTAGATTTTTAGGTGTGAACTTCCAGTTACTATTTTTTCTACTTAAAGTACTCATCCGTGATTTTTAACCGAGAAAATTAACACTACATGTTTGTTGATAAGGTTTAACAGTTTGACTTTAATATATAATTCCATAACTCAAGGTTCCATCACTGTACGTATTTCACTCCTACTTGAACCTTGCTTGCTCAGGATCTGTTTGAATCGTTAGGACTGCATATTTTGATTTGTCCAACCTAATTCCCAGATCTGATACTATTCGATTTTCAATAAATTGAAAAAATACTTACATTGAAACGTTTTTTAATGACATAAATTTACTTGTTTCAATTAAATAAACTAAACAAACAAAGTAACAAAGTTACTAAAGTAACACAATGTGAAATGAATTAGAGTATAACTTACATTATTTTAGGAACATAAGTGATTTTATGTTTCACTCTTGCTTAAGCTCGTTCAGAAAATTTGCTGACAGCCTTGAATTACGATTTTTTCACTAAATTGAAGCAGTAGTTGAATCGACGTAGCATTTTGAATGGTGAGAAAGTCATGAGTCTATGAAAAATAGACTTAAAGTAGACCAAAGGAATCTGTACGAGTAGGTACTGAACAGACCCGTAATTATTATTAAATTTATTAAAATGTGTTCCTTTTTTCATTTTTTCCCGAATAAAATTAATGAAGTTTCACTTACGTAAATTTAAGTAACAACATCGCTCACTCACCTTACTCACTCATTTGGACTCACTCAACTTACTCGCAGACCTGAAATCCTTGTATTACCATCTGCTCATTAAATTAAAGGAGTACTTGAATTTACGGTACTTTTGGCATGATCAGGAAGTTATGATACTGTGAAACGGTGACTACAAAAGATATAGGGAAAATTTGATAAGATACTGTTTACATAAGCGTCTGCTCAGGCTTAAAATAGTACTGAAGATGTTAAAATTTATTCATTTTTCATTTTTTCTCACTTAACTTTACTTATGTAAACTTAAATGACAAAGTTCGTGGCTTAGGTAAACTTAAGCTAAGCGACAGCGTTTTTCATTTCTACATGGACGCTAGCGCCGGGCTCACTCAGAACCTTCTTCTTTCATTTTTTATGAACATTTGGACTCACCCAACGGACTTTTAGAGCTGATACCCTTGTCTTCAAATATTTCTGCAAATTTCATTTAAATGTATTCATGAGAACATAAAAAAGTGGCTTTAAAAGATGCGACGAAAGTTATGGTCTGTACAAAAGCGCTGCTCAAGCTACAAATAGTCCTTTAAATTTCTTAATATTGTTCTGAAGCTATTTTCTTGTTGCATTTGCACAATTGAATGTTGAAATAAGTTTATTGATGTTTCAATTTACACTTCGGAAATCGCTATCAAAATACAAACGATTGATAACGATTTCCAAAGTGGAAATTGAAACGTCAATAAACTTATTTTAACCTTCAATTGTGACTTACTTTCATTAAAATAGTATCTCCTTTAAATTTCATTAATGTGTTCATTTTTCGTCTGTTAAGTTAACTTCATTATATATATTTCACACTAACACTAGTCATACTCATTCCGTACATTGGTCGTGCAGTTGGTATGGGACATTTTGACTTAACCGATCTAGTCTCCGAACTTCAGTTCCTTGGGCTACCATATTTTCACCAAATTGAAGATATCCCTGAATCAACAGCGCTTTTTAAACAATCAGCAAGTTATGATACTGTGGAAAAATCACTTTAAAAGATGTAGTGGATGGCGTACGATGATTCTATACAAAAGCTGGTACCCAGGCTTCAAATAGCGCTGTAAATTTCATTAAAATGTGTTAATTTTTTATTTTTCTTACTTAAATCTACTTAGTAAACTTAAGTGATAAAAAGTAAAGTGACTTTATTGAATAAGTCAATTATATGTTTCACTCCTACATGAGCTGTATCCGGTTCACTCAAGCTTGATTGTGTCATTTGAAAGGTAGATTTGCCTTATACGAGCTATTAGACTCACCTGACACCTTTGGATTACATACCTTTACTAAAGTAAATGATTCCTTCAATTGACAGCTGTCTTTGAATGACTAGAATACATCATCATCAGCCAGCTCTTTGCGTCCACTGCTGGACATAGACCTCACTCATTTTTGTTCAATCTGATCAAAAATGTGCTGTATCTTTATTTCGTGTCCAAGATTTTTCCACCAGCTCCACTTCATTGTCTAGGTTTGTCATGAATTTTGCTTTGGAGATGTTTATTTTAAGACCCACACTGGCACACTAACTGAAGTTCATGTAGCATTGTACATATCTCTTTGAAATTGTCCTAAGAACAAAACTATGTCGTCTGCGAATTTCAAATTTGTCAATCTTCTACCGTCAGTGTTCAGGCCTTTCTCTTCACAGTTAAGGTTTGTTCAAGCATATTCTAGTACTACGGTAAAGAGTTTAGGTGATAAGGTATCACCCTGTTGGACTCCTCTGCTGATTGTGATATGATCCGTGTTTTTATGTAGTTTCACCGACATAGTTGCGTTCTTATATGTCTTGTAAATTAACTCTCTTGAGTTTACGGGACTCTATATGTTTCACTTCTGTATGAGCCTTATTATGGTTTCTCGTGTCTCTCAGAACCTATATCATTTTCATTTCATACCTCATTTTCACTAAATAGAAGGAATATGTGTGTTTTCTGAAATAACCAACGATTAAGAGACTATGAAAAATTAGCTCCAAAAACCTAGTAAACAGATCCCATACAGATTTTTTTAAATAAATGTAATATAAATTTAAATAGTTATGAAATTAAAAAAAAAATCGCAACGAACCTTTTCTTTTTCCTGAGAAAAGATGGGTTGTATTCAAGAGCATGATAAAAAAATATCAGTTAAGACTGTAGGGTTTAGTTATCTCAGAATATTCATACAATAGTTCATATCATTTACAGTACAATGAAATAGTAATAATTATTTATGAATCAATTATATTTTCATAGCTATTTTAATTCGCTATAAATTTTTTTTTACAATAATTTATATCGAAGGATAGATAAGTCTTCATGGATCTATGAGAAATTATTTTATACTGTTTTTATTATTAAAATAATTCGTTTTTGCTTTTTAGGCATTACAGACTATCTTAAGTAGGAAATGGTTACTATTTGAGTCGTAACAGATAATTTTTAGACATTTTTTAAAGACATTTCTATTTTAATACGAATTCGACTGGTCTCTCTTCGATGCGTTCATGCAATTGTATATTAGTTATCCTGATCTCTACGCCCTCCAGAGCTAAGCTCACATCAAAATGTCAAGTCTCTAGCTCAGCCAGAAGTTGGTTTAAAATCGATTGAAAAATTCTAGGAATGCTACGACCTTCGGGGTAGCGAACTTATAAAATCATCTTAGTACAAGTTAGAAGTTTTTGTTTGTCAATCTTAAATGGTTTTTACAAAATTTCATTATCGCAAGAGTACTAACTTTGCTCGAAAACAAAGCGTCAAACTCAGGAATCGTGAATTCAAAATACCGTACTGATCGTTCAATTAATTCTAACGATAGATGTCAAATATCAATTTCCAAACCATGACGAATTGTAAGACAGTTAACTGTCACGTTAAGAACTAGTATTGGTTTGCTATTTAAACCAAAGAATCACCGTACGTGTTTTTTGTCTCGCACTTTGTAAAAGTTTTTAAAGTATATACTGAAATATAATTATAAAATCTTTTTTTTAATCTTAATTTCAAACTTTTGAAAATATTCGAACAACTTTTTTTAATGAATGATTCTCTAAAATTATTTAATTTAATGTATAATATGGTTAAAGTATTATTGTAATTTTAAGTTAAAGAATTATATTTTAATGTTATTGTAAATAAACAAGTTTGTTAAAGTGGTTTTTTTTATTTCAATAGAGGAGAAGAATAGAAGGGATCTCCTTTTTAGAAAAATCCAATTATTTGAGGGATTTCATTGTTCCATCCTCTGTGAATGGCCTTTATTATAAAATACCAAGTCGCAAAAATACGGCAAATAATTGTTCTATGTTAAAGAGACGAGGGTGTTATTGATTAAAATATTATAAAATATAAATCGTTTAATGGGCCACCATTATTTGTAATGAAAATTACATTTTTTTCTGTCAAAGCTCTAAAAGAAGTCCATAATAGTATTACCAGTTGACAAGTTCAATGCAACTGTAATTATGCAGAGAATTCAAAAATTGGTCACAAATGGACCTTACACAAAACTAAAAAATGGTCCAACCAAATCACTGAAAAACAAAATATATAAAAACTACACAAATTTGAGAAATATACAGCAGAAATACGGGGTCCCAAAATAACACAAAGAAACTGTACTCACCCCTCAGACCAATTTGCAGCAGTATGGGTTCTCCTTGTAGCAAGCTCTTAAAAATTTTTTCTAGACAATACAACCTCTAGCTCAAAATACAACAATATTTAGAGAAAACCTTAAAAGTAATAAAAGTAAAATTAGAAAGGGATGATTGACAACAAAAACCAAACTGATTGTGTCAGCTATAATAGAGCTACTAACACTTTGAACAGACAACACTTATTTTCAACTTGATAATGATTTTTACAAACAAGTTTTTGGATCATTCGCAATTGTTTTCATGTAGGAGTTAGAGCAAAATATTGTGCATACACTTGACTAACAAACCACACTATGCTGCAGATATGTAGATGATGTGTTTTACATTTGACCTCACGGACCAGAAGCATTGAATACATTTCTGACGGACGTCACTACTAAAGAACAATGAATCAAATTCACCATGGAAGAAGAAAACAACTCATTCCTTTTTTGGATGTGTTGAACACAAAAGACGATACAGGATATGCAACCAAGTTTACAGAAAATTCATCCACACCAACAGATATTTAATTTAACACTCAAACCCCAATATAAACATCAAATAGGGAATTATCAAATCATTATATGATATAATCTAATGAGTTAGTCATCTTATCCTTCGTGGAGGGTAAGATGACGAGGGATGCTTATTCTAACAAAGAAAGGTAGTTATATCAGAAAGTAAACAAATTAAAGTAAAATTTATTCTGCAACACTTGCTTCCTGATTATACATTCAGCGTGAATCCATTCCCTACACCTGCTGCAGCAATACCATAGCTCATATTTCCCCCTTTAACGCAGATTAATCAATCTCTTTCTTTCTCTGAATCGTTATCAGTGTCAGCATATTCCATATCTACTGACAAGTTAGAAGAGTCATCAAACTTTATGTTTCTCTTAGACGTTTTATCTTTATCCAGAGAGAATTTCCTATATTTTTTTGCTGAAAATTAAAGTCTTTGCTTCTATTTTGTTTTTTAATTTTCTTCTGCTCTTTTATATTACTATTCCTCTCTTTTGCTAATTTTGCAGCTTTCTTTTCTTCTAAAATCTTTACGACTAATGGACTAGAAATAACGAGAGACGGTAATTTCTTTCTTGGTCGTTTTGCTCTCACTTTAGCAACAGGTCATTTAGGTAAACCCTTATTCAATATATGATTTGATACATGAGGGACCAGCTATTTCTGATGTGGATTGACCTGGTATTCCTATTCCAACTTCAACTTCCTTTAAAATTGGTTTGTCTTTATTTGTTGGTAAAGATACCTCACAATCAAATATATCAAACACCTGGCTATCAACACGATATAGGCCAGTGGCTCTAGAACCACTAAGAGAATTTGAAACAGTTGTTTTTGAGTATGCATTCCCAAATAGGGTTGCAAATTTATAATACGGCCTGAATTACTGATCAAAAAATCTTGCAATCAGCAAACTCGTGAGTATGCTGTTTAGAGAGGTCCATATAATGACACATCCAATTGGACGAGCGTGTTGAATGTAATGTTCCAAATTTTTAACAAAATTTTCAGATGTCATCCATTCAGAAGAACAAGATACCCACATGGTCTCTTCGGGCGCTCAATATTTTAAGAGATGGTTGCATTTTTACTTTTGGAAATATTAGGCACGGTGGTATAAAATCTCCAATGGCATTCATGACACAAACAGCAGTCAGGTTAAACCCTTTTTCTGCCGAGAAAATCTTTATCACTCGACGGTTGCCTCTTGGGGTTAATTTTTTCGGATCCATCCAAAAACCGGTTTCATCAATATTATAAATTTGAGTAGCAGAATATGAATATTTGTGATGGAGTTCTTTGTATATCTTAAAGAAAATTTTCACTTTAACTTTATTAAAAGCCATTAATCTAGCAGCGGAAGTTGCTTCTGGTATACGGAATGATAGACTAAATTTCTTCATAAAGGATTGTGCGAAGTCTTTATCAACCATTTTCATCGTAGTGTTAAATCTATCAACACCACATTGATTAGCAAACTCGAAAGAAATTTTTCTAAATTAATCTTTGGTTAATCCAAAGGCCCGTTTATCTATATGCCCGTTCGTCATTAAATGTTGGTTTAAAGTTGCCAACCTTTTTTAGGAAAATCCTAAAATATAAAAGATGACTTTTAAAAAATCAAAACAATTACCTAATATACACAAGTTACCTTATCGGGATATTTTTAAACATATCTTCTCAGAGTAGATTCTGTGATATTATATGCTTTGAAGGCTGCAATAATACAACATCTAAATATAAATGATAATGAAGGAGGTTACAACATAGAAAATCAACAAAATCTGCAGCGTCAACTGCTACACAATGAAAACCCAAGAGGAGAAGAAATGTCAAATGCCATCCTAAAACTCAAAGACAATAAAGCCCCAGGAATCGATGAAATCTGTTCCGAAATGTATAAAAAAGGTGATGATCAACTTTTTGCCGCAAACCATAAGTTATTAGTACTTACATGGCAGAATGAATTGATACCAGAATATTGGATAAAAGGGAATAATATATCTGTTGCAAAGGGTAATCAACTGCAGTGTAAGAACTATAGAGGCATTACTCTGTTAGCATCTGCGTATATAATCTTCGGTAATGTATTGTTTGAAAGACTTAAACATTTTACAAAGGATATTGTTGGGCAATATCAGTGCGGATTTACTGCTGGAAAGTCAACTACACATCAAATTCAATCACATAGACAGATTCTAGAAAAGCCACTATAATATAACGTAGATACACACTATCTCTTCGTCGACTTCAAAGCAGCCTATGACAGTGTGAACAGAACTACATTATATGAAACAATGATAGACTTTTGGGTCCCACGCAAGTTGGTTAAGTTGACCCAATTAACAATGCAAAATGTAAGCTCATGCGTTAGAATAGAAGGAGAAAATTCTACGTTCTTTTACATTAATAATGGTCTAAGACAAGGGGTTGGCGTTGGCGTGTCTCCGCTTTAAAAGCTAAAGGCAATCAGACAATTTAATATTAGAATGGATAGAACTATTTTTAATAGATCGACGCAAATTATCTCATTCGCTGACGATATAGTTATAGTGGGCAGAAGTATGAGAGACGTGGTGCAGTATTTAACAAGGCTTGCGGACGCGGCTGAATTAGGACTAGTAGTCCTCCTCAATCCTATAGCCCTTGTCAGGGCGTAGTGACACCCTAAATATTGTTAGTCTGCTGTCTCCATTGACTGCGATCTTGTGCCATATGGACGGCTTCATGTAGGGATTTTCCCACCAAACTCTTCATTTGGTCTACCCATCGTATTGGAGATCTTCCTCTTGGTCTTCGGCCTTCTACCTTTCCTTCTACTACCAATAGTTTCATGGTGACCGTTCTTCTAGCTATGTGGCCGAAGTAAGTTAGGTATGCTTGGTTTACTTTTTTTAGTAGCCTGTCTTTTATATGAAGCTCTTCCAGAATTGACAGGTTGGTTCTATGTTCTGTCCAGGACACGCGTAGAATTCTTCTATATACCCACATTTGGAAGGCTTCGATCTTACTCCTATCGATTTTTTTGAGAGTCCATGTTTCAGCTGCATATGTAGCAATGGGAAAAATAAGGGCATTGACCAACCTGAGCTTAGTATTCCTTGTTATTGTTCGGTCTTTCCATATTTTAATTAATTTGTCAGTTGCGGTTCGGGCCATTCCTAGTCTACGTTTGATTTCTGAGGAACAATCACCATTGTTGGTTATCAGAGAGCCCAGGTATACAAATCTGTCGACTACTTCGAAAATCCCTATTTGGCGTATATGCGGTAGATTATTATTTGCTCTGTCTACAATCATTATTTTTGTTTTTCCGGTGTTGATTTGAAGTCCGAATTCTTCACTTATTCCGCTTAGCCGTTCGATGATGGTAATCATTTCGACTTCATTCGCTGCTAGTATAAGTGTGTCATCTGCGTATTGCAGGTTACTGATTTTTCTGCCTCCTATAGTGATTCCTCCATCCCATTCATCTAGTACTTTTCTCATTATATATTCAGAATATATGTTATACAATAATTGTGATAGTATGCAACCTTGTCTAGTTCCTTTCTCTGTTTTGAATGCATTTGAATATATTCCATGTACTTTAACTTTGGCTGAGTTTTTATTATACAGATTTCTTATTAGGTTAACTAGGTGATTAGGTACTCCCATATTTTCCATTATACTCCAGAGAGGATCCCATTTTACTGAATCAAAAGCCTTTGTGTAATCTACAAAACAGAGCAACATTGGTATGTTATGTTCTCTCGCTTTTTCTACTATCTGTCTGGTGTTGAGTATTTGCTCACGCGTTCCCTTTCCTGGTACAAATCCACATTGTTCTTCGGCTATCTCTGGAAGTAGAAAGTTCTTTAGCCGTTCTTTGATTATATGTAGCAGGATTTTGCTTGCATGAGGGATAAGGGCAACGGTTCTGTAATTGCTGCATATGGTTGGTGATCCTTTTTTATGGATAGGGATCAAGGTTGATTCACACCA